AAGATATGGTTGTACGGGATTTGTTATACATCCTGGCCAGTTCGCCCACGTACGCCACTATCATATTGTTCAATGATGTTTTTCTTAAATTCAATCGTATTTCTCACCTTCTTTACCAAAGGCTTGGCACTAGGAGCTTTCTTTGGAGCCATGGTAGCTTATTTAGCACTTAAATAACTTGCAAGCACTAAAGTAAATGGAATATTATGAAATATTTCGCTGAAGCACGTGAGGGGACCATCGCTCACTGGTAAACAATAGCACACTGGCTGGGAAGGAAAGGCCGAGGCGGCTGAGAGTGTGAGTACGCGTCTGGGACGAAGGACTATTAGCGAGTTACCGGACCATTTGCGAGCCAATATTTTGATGAAAAAACAGGACTATTTCCGAAATGGACGACTTTCAGGCCGGACAATTATTGAGGGACCACTGTATATACGTCAAAAATGGTGGCTCGTAAGACATATATATATGACCAAAAGAGTCAAAGGGTTAAATTGGCCAAATTACCAGTTTCCGATCACTTTTTGTAGCTGAAACAGTTGAGTTGGCGATTTTTTGTGCTCAGTCGATAGAATAGAAGTAATACTAGTGAAATAGCAAAGAATTTGGTCGACTGGAATACAATGGACCCCCGACGTTCGATGGCATCGACATTCGATAAATCCGACATTCAATGCATTTTAACGCAAAAATTTTGCCTCGACCTTCGATCGAAAACCCACTATTCGATACGATTCGTACGAGACGTGTCCACGTGTGGCCTGAACTGCCCCATGTGTGCCAGTGTTTACAAACCAGCCAGTGCACGCGCATCTAAGGATACATTCGGTACATTCCATATTATCCATATTATCACTGTTTTTGGTGCTTGTTTCTGCAAAATAAGTCACCATGGGCCCCAAGAAGGCTTCTAGTGCCAACCCTGTGGTAAAAAGGGTGAGAATTAGAATGGAAATTAAGAAAGATTTTGAAGGGTTTGGGGCTAACCCTGAGAAGCCTATGCCAGTTGTGGAATCCATTGTGCCTATTTCAAAGATTAAGGAAATGTGTGTAAAGTGGGTTGAACTGCAAACCTTTATGGATGAAAATCACCCTAACACAGCTATTGCAAGCCCTGCTGATGACTGTTACAATGACAACGTTGTGGCCCATTTTAGACAAATCTTAAAGGAACGTGAGTTACAGAGCTCCATGGACAGATATGTTGTGCTACAGAAGTCCAGTGACTCAAGCTGGCCCTAGTGGCATTAACCCTTTGAGGGTTTCGGACATACTAGTACGGCTTATGACCCAGGGTTTTTGATGTACTAGTACGCCTAAATTCTAGCGCCCTCAAATCTAGTGGGAGAAAGCTGGTAGGCCTCCATATGAAAGAATGGGTCTATGTGGTCAGTGTGCATGGTATAAAAAAAATCCTGCAGCACACAGTGCATAATGAGAAAAAAAAACTTTGACCGTTTTTTTTTTTTTTGGAATAAAACAGCGACTTTGCACTGTATTTTCGTATGGTATTTATTGTTGTATTCTAGTTTTCTTGGTCTCATTTTATTGAATGGAAGGCATATCATAGAAATTGAGATGATTTTGACTGATTTTACAATGAAAAGTACTTTGAAATTGAGCTCAAAGTAGCAGAAATGTTCGATTTTTACCAAAGTTCAAAAGTAAACAAATCATGCCAAACATCCAATACACGTCAACTGGTGAGTCTAATATTCTTTTGCAAGTGCGCCAATATGATTCATACCATTTTTTACACTAATGCAGTAGTCTGCATAACAGTAAATCTTCTATTTTTTGTGAGAATAAAAATTCAAAGTGAAAAGCCAAAGAATGTAAGAGGGGCCTTGAGACGTGACTAAAGAACAGAGGAAATGTCATTTTAGTGCCAGGAATGTATTTCTTGTTTGTTCTGGACCCTATTTGGAAATTGGCATCTTTTGAAATTTGTGTGAAATTGGCAAAATTGCTAAATTCTGACCACTGTACTGGATAGTTGAAATTGGTAAATGGGTGGTTTCTTGCACTCATTCAATAGAAAAAATGGAGTTCTAGCGAAATATTCATGTTTTTTTGTTGACTAGTACAGTGGAACTGGCCAAAAATAGGCTCAAATTGGGCAAAATCGCCGATCCGTAAACATCGCCGAGACCGCTAACTTTGCGAGAGCATAATTCCGTAAGTTTTCCATCAAATTTCATATTTTTGGTGTCATTATGATCGGGAAAAGGTTCTCTATCTTTTCATAAGAAATTTTTTTTTTTTTTTTAAATTTGGCCGACCCTGAGAACAAGTCTCGGAGAGGGCCTGTCGACCCTCAAAGGGTTAAAAGAAGAAGGGAAGTAACCCTGGAAAAAGACTTGATACCTCAAGTCCTAATGGAAGGGGATTCCCCTTCTAAACACTAACACCATCCACACACTCCCCTCCTCCCATACCATCAATCATCACCAGATCTTCATTAAAGGTAAGTGTCAATTATTCTATTGTTATTGTTGTTATTGTAATTATTCTATTGCATTAAACTTAATATTTCATGTGGTAATTTTTTTTTTCTTACTTTTGGGTGTCTTGCACGGATTAATTTGATTTCCATTATTTCTTGTGGGGAAAATTAATTCGACTTTCGATATTTTCGACATTCGATGAGCTCTCAGGAACGGATTAATATCGAATGTCGGGGGTCCACTGTAATGTAATTGGCCTAAAATGGGAGTCAAAGTCGGCAAAATCACTGATGCATAAATATTGCTGACACGTCAAAATTTGCGAGAGCATAATTTTATAAATTTTCCATCAAATTTTGTACTTTTTGTTTTATTACCTTCAGAAAAAGATTCTCTATCATTTTATAAGAAAAAATAACAATTATTTTTTTAAAATTCTTGAACCCTGGTGCATACTTTGAAATTTGGCCTCTGGACCCTGAAAGGGTTAAGACCCATTCTGTGCTCACCAGGCATCTCAGGACAATCTTGCCAAATTTGGAGGCAGGAAAAATAAAACGTCTACTGTATATACGTTTGGGGCACTAGCGATGTGAACATATATATACGTTTGGACTGTTTAGGGGTTAATTGTCGATTGAATTAGATCCTTTTTCGTATCATATGAATGAAGTCTGATCATGACACTGTTTACTACCTTGCTTTCCTAGTAAGCATGTTTCTTTAACTTCACTGTTTTGCATATTAACATTTAGGTGGTCTTTTTTTTTATCTTAATAGCAGTATCTTTGCAGTTAGCTTGGGTTATTTCACTGGTAGGTGGGAGCTATTTATTATAACTGCATCAGATAACTTTTCTTGTTAGTTTTATCATCTTGGAAATCAAGGTATTCATTGAAACGTGCATTCATGTTGTTTTTCCAGTCCTTGATTGCTTCTTCCAACTTTGTATTCAGAGATGTTATTTGCTCGGTGTGACTGGCGATAGCTATTTGCAGAGAATTTTCTGTATCAGTACTTCCTGATGTAATCTTCTTTTCGAGGTTTAGGATCTTGATCTCGAGGTTGGTAAACAAACTGAGAGTGGACAGGTGGTGTGCGGATGCTGTAATAGGAAATCAGGAGCAATATAAACAAATTTTGGGGGATAATTTGAGATGTCCATATTAACAAATCACCATAAAACACAGCCCTCCTGTATTAGAAACTGAGCACATTTCTTTCTTTCTGTCAGTAAATGAAAATGAAAATGTTTATTTCCTTGTAAAGCTTACAATGTGTGGTTTACATATTATAAAATATTAATTACAAGGAAGGCCTCTAGCATGCCTAGGCATTTTGGGCAGACTAATCCTAATTCTTACGCTATGTATATTGACATAAGTTATGGAGCAGTACATTTTAATATACCTTGTTCCATACTAGGTAGCTGAAGTGATTAATTAGATTTATAATAATGAGGTAGTACAAGACATATAACTATGTTACAATTAGTAAACTTAGCAATGGGAATGGTTAAGTCTTGGCATGATACTGTTTCTATTAAAGATCCTATATTGGGAGAGTTTCTTAGGCAAACTTAGGGCTAACTTAAGATTTATTAGGCAGTAGCTACATTAGGAATTTTGTTTACAGTCATTTGGGCGAGTGTAAATTAGGGGGAATCACAGATATCGAGAGTAATCTATTTTGTTTTGGATGTGTGCATGATATGAAAAAGAGAATAAGTGGTTTTCATATAGTTAGCTGTTGATGGGGTGTGTTAGGGAGATAAGATGTTTTTTAGCAGTAGTTTTGAAAATGGTGGTTGAGTCTGCAGTTCTAGAGTTTTCAGGCAGGGAGTTCCAGATTTTAAGCCCTTTTATGTACATTGAAATTTTTGTAGAGATTTAGCCAGACACTGGGAATGTCGTAGAGATTTTTGTGTCTGGTATTGTGTCTGTGGGTCCTGTTGCAACTATCAAGAAAATGTTTTAGGTCAGGGTTAATATTAGAATTTATGGCTCTGTAAATGTAGGTTGCACAGTAGTAGGTGTGAATATTGTGTACAGTGAGTAAGTTTAGGTCTTTGAAGAGTGGGGAAGGGGGGTTGCCTAGCATTGGGTTGCGTGATAATTCTTACTGCGACTTTTTGTTGGGTGATTATTGCCTTTAGGTGGGTTGCTGCTGTTGATCCCCAGGCCCAGGTCTAGAATTTCACCAGCTAATCTTAATATTCACTGTGTGATGTGTTCAATCTATTGTGCATAAATAGGTTTATGCTTTAAACTTTTTTTTTTTTTTCAAACTTACATTTGCTTATTTGGTACTACAGTATTTTTGTTTACACAAGATGAACACATGATCATCTTAAATCTGTGTAACTGTTAAATTGCCATTATGTTAAGCTTTTGAGTGTAAATGTTGCCAAGTCTTTCATTAAGGGATCACTACAGGGTGTGTATAAGCCCATTATGCAACAAGATATGTCTGAATTTTACCAGTTTTTAAAGGAAAGAAGTTATGATACCATAGTCTTGAATAATTTGCAATCTGTTTTATTTTTTACAGGAAGACTCCCCAGTTCACACAGAACTGTTAGCAGCTCTGAAGCAGCTCAGTAAAAGCAAGGGAGAAGGTTCTATCACTTATACATAATTAGGTAACAGAAGGGGTTTTAACAAAACAGTTTAACACTGTTTTCACAAGACATACCATGTCAAAATAAAGTGCATATCTAAAGAAAAACATAGATAACTACAACAATAATGCCATAGTAATTGTAAATTGTTAGTAGAATAAGAAGACCAGTTAGGAAGTGATGAATATAGATCTGAATGTTAATAGAATCTGAATTTTTTATTATGCATTAATCAAATAAGATAATGCTAGTAGTTAAACAATGTAGTGATCTGTAATATAAATCATTTTATATTGTTAATGTATCTTGCATAAGTAGTAGCATATTTAACATATACCAAAAATCTTGATTTTATCTACATTGTCTTTGTAAGTACATTTATTATGGTTACAAGTTATTATAGGTGATATGTTTCTTCTTGAACCTAAAATAAACTTGCTTTACTTATGAACAAATACTTGTAGTTGTAGTTTGCTTTTGATGTTTAGATAATATACTATATTTTTAACTTTATAGCAAAGGCAATTGGTAGTATCTGAACATTGTCTTTGGAGCTGCTTTTCACAAAATTGTAATTACTAACATATAGCACTCTTTACAGTATATATCTTGAACACAACAGCTTAACATCTGATGATCACTGTATGCATGGAACACAATAAGTTAGCATCTTTTCACTATTTCTCAGACACCAGCTTAGCATCAGCACCCCATAATCCCAGGATAAAATTATACTGCACACAAGAGTGAAACAAATTGTAACTGTTATGTGCAGTACTGTAACCCCCTGTTTGTATTGCTGTACTACAACCTTACACGTTTCTATAACCCCTACATGTTGTTTTATAATGCCTGCATGTAGTACTACGACAATGTACTTCTTCACCTCTTACATGTATAGTAAATTATACCCAAACATCACAGTTAAAGCTAGGATTAATGGAAAAAAAAGAGGTTCATATTATTTTAGTTCAAGATCTAAGATTGCAGATAATGAACTAAATTGATATAAAGATTAATGTCATCTGCAGTATATTTATGCTACTGATATTACTCAGTTGCACTACCATTAGAAAAAACATGCCCCAATGTAATGTGTAAATAAATTTTTTGGCTTAAGAAATTAGCTAAAATGTTTACTCAGAAATATATATTATTTTAAGCTTTATTTAAAAAATTCATTCTGTACATACATTTTATACCTGGATATCATAATTTGTATGTTTAAAAACTTGGGTTTAATGAAAGGTAGTAATCTCAATCTGTTGTTAATTCTCATTATTTTTATACACTACTTAATAAGGAACATGTAAATAAAATCAAAGGGTGATTCAATATTGGGTTTGGATAGTGTAGCCCCCTGTTTAATTAATTTAAAAAAAAAGGGGAGGGGGAGGGCAGTTATTTACTTCCACTAAAGCAATTAAAAAAAAAAATAGGTGGACTTCTACCAAAATTTAACTCTTCCATGAATGTGGTGGTGGTAAAAATAAATAATTGCCATATAACTGGAATTTCATTCCTGACTGTACAATATATCCCTGAAATGACATAGTAATTCTACTTAGTATGTGGTGAACATAGGTATTTGTTTGATGGCTGAAGCCTTATACATTTCCCAATTTAAAATATGAGCAAATTATAACTTTCTTTCCATACAATTATTTATTTTGTACATTGTTCTATATAGAACTGTAAATACCTGGACTCTCATAAAATGTTACCATAGTTTCTTGTAATTATAAAGAATCCTGACAAAAATGAGACTGGCTGTTAAGACATGAAGCTTACTAAGTGCTGCCAGCCAGCCAGTTTCACACTGAGGCACAGGAAGAGGTGCTCTCACTGAAACACCAAAATTACATTGGCCTAGATATAAAATGTACTGCCTAGTGACATTTTATTTCAAAATAACAAGAGCATGAATGATAATTGATTAATGATCAAGAGAACTGAACCAACCATAATGTGAGGTTTCTTAAGAGTAAAATAAAAAAAAGTGTGTGCCACCTGAGGGTTTTAGTTTGCTGATTAGCATCTTTTATCTGCAAACTACCTAACAAGAAATGATGTCTGGAACTCTGAAAAGGATACCTAGAATCCTTCTGGTGATGGCATTCATATGTTGTACACGCAGCTTTGCAGGTGAGCTCTTACCTATATTACTCTTGACTTCATTACCTCTGTACATATGCTTAACTTTCCACTTTTGCCCATTTTGCTCCTTTGTCTTTAATTAATCATGAAGCTTTCCCTCATTGTTTCTTTCACTGTACTAATCTGAGAAGTGTTGCAGTTGTTAGGGTTGGCACAATGTATTTTAAATACAGTGGAACCTCGGTTTTCGTATGCCTTGGTTTTTGTAGGATTCAGTTTTTGATGACTTTTTTCGTTTAAATTTTGTCCCAGTTTTCATACATCCGCTTGGTTTTCGTTGAGTTCACAATGGTTCGCCGTACCAAATCCGTCTGCCTGCCTGTGCCCACACAAAGCATCCCACACGTTCTGACTCAGTCTGGCTTTTTTTTATCATTGAGTGAGCATTACCCTGCATGTTCATCTGAAACATTTTGTAATAATCCATTGTTTTTTGTGCTTGCTTATTGAGTGCGACTTCTAAATAAGCCACCATGGGGCCAAAGAAGGTTCCAAGTGCCAGGCATTTGATAAAGAAGGCGAGAAACACGATTGAATTCAAGAAAGAAGATGTAGCAGAGTGTGAAAGTGTTGCAAGCCGTGTCTGCAACATGTTCAGTGACATGCCTTGTCCCATTTTAGGCAAATCTTAGAGATTCCAGAAGCAGACCTCTCTGGATAGATTTTTTGTGTGACAGGGGTCCAGTGACTCTCAAGCTGGTCCTAGTGCCAGTAAAAGACAAAGAAGGGAAGTAACCCTAGATAGGGCCTTGATACTTGAAATCCTTATGAAGGGGGATTCCCCTTCCAAACAATAACCTCTCCTCCTCCCTCACTCCTCACCATCTTCCATACACCAACAAGAGTGATGTTAAATGTTCATTTATCCATTTCATTAGTCATATATATTTATTTCTCATTGTTTTCTGTATGTAAAACTACATATAGTTATTCTCTATTAAATGTATTTTTTATTAATTTTTTGGGTGTCTGGAATGGATTAATTGGATTTACTGTACATTATTTCTTATGGGAAATATTGCTTCAGTTTTCATACAGTTCGGTTTTCATCAGACTTTCTGGAATGAATTAATCATGAAAGCCAAGGTTCCACTGTATACTATTTAGTGTTTGATGTTCCTAGCTATGACTGGCCATGTCAGCAGTGTCTGCTGGTCTACCGATGGACTCGGTACTACAGTTGCATGAGATACTGTGCTGCACGAGTCATTAACCTTTCATATTAATAGTGTCTGTATCACTTGAGACCAGAGTTATTTTGAATGTTCTCTCCTATCCTTATTTTACTTGTATGATCATTACAAACACTAGCTTGTTTCATCTACAAATTTGTATTATATTAACCCTTTCAGGGTCCATGCCATAGTTCTACGGTTTTGAGTTGTGGGTCCAAACCGTAGAACTACACAAATTCTAGCAGCCTCAAATTTAGCTCGAGAAGGCTAGTAGGCCTACATCTAAGAGAATGAGTTTGGGTGGTCAGTGTGCACACTATAGAAAAAATCTGGACGCCCGCATGGCATTGTGGGAACGCCGCCATAGTGGCTTTGTTCACCATGCCTGGCGGCAAGGAAGCTCTCACTCCCCGGGCGAATTCTGATTCTCCTCTTCCCAGCTTATAGTTCTAAGACTGATGGAAGTGGATCTGAAGAGAAATTCTATGGTTCTGAACCATATGGTACAATGTACAATATGGTACAATGTACAATATGGTACAATGTACAATATGGTACATTGTACCATATGGTACATTATACCATATAGTACATTGTACCATATGGTACAGGGTACAGGGACCCTAATGGGAATATGTCTGTCTGGTTTTTGCGGTTATCCTAGGTCTCTAAACATATGCTGCTATTTATGATAATCTATGTAACTTTGTATAACTAAATAAACTTACTTACGCCTCCACCTGTGCTTGAGTAAGCTTATTCAGGTGTACACAATACTGTTACATAGATTATCATACATAGCAGCATATGTATAAAATCCTAGGATAACCAAAAAAAGTCAGGGTGACTTTTTCCATAGGGATCCCTGTATCTGTACCATGTGGTGCCCTGTACCATATGGTACCGTGTACCATATGGTACCATGTACCATATGGTATCCTGTACCATATGGTATCCTGTACAATATGGTACCCTGTACCATATGGTACCCTGTACCATATGGTACCCTGTACCATATGGTACCCTGTACCATATGGTATTCTGTACCATATGGTACCCTGTACCATATGGTATTCTGTACCATATGGTACCCTGTACCATATGGTACCCTGTACCATATGGTACAATGTACCATATGATACCTTGCACCATATGGCCAGTAGGAGGTGTTGGTGCCACGAGGCACCAGCCAGGACTGAGTGAGTTGGGACACAAGCTCCCTGACTCTGCAGTTTCCAAGACAGTGCTTCGTCATCCACCTCAAGCAACATGTCCAGTGGCTGTATATATGTAAAAATATATGATACAACATTACTAATATACAACAATTTTGCATTTTTTGTTGTAAACAATTATTGTAAATGTAATGATGAAAATATTAGTGCAGTTATTGTATTGAATACAACAGTACCATAATGAATCATTGTACCAAATTGTACAATGTACCATATGGTACCATTGTAACATATGGTACCATTGTACCATATGGTACCATTGCACCCTATCATACCATTGTACCATATGGTACTACAGTGGACCCCCGCATAGCGAACTTAATCCGTGCAAGAGGGCTGGTCGTTATGCGAAATGTTCGCTATGCGAATTAATTTTCCCCATAAGAAATAATGGAAATAAAATTAATCCGTGCAAGACCCCCAAAAGTATGAAAAAAAAATTTTTTTACCACAAAAAAATGTTAATTTTAGTACACACAAACTGAAAAAGGCATGCACAATTACATGACACTTACTTTTATTTAAGATCTGGTGATGATTGATGGGATGGGAGGAGGGGAGAGAGAGTGTTAGTGTTTAGAAGAGGAATCCCCTTCCATTAACACTTGAGGAGGCAAGTCCTTTTCCGGGGTTACTTCCCTTCTTCTTTTAATGCCACTAGGACCAGCTTCAGAGTCACTGGACTTCTTTCTGTCCATAGAGCTCTGTACCTCCCGTTCCTTTACAATTTGTCTAAAATGGGCCATAACATTGTCATTGAAATAGTCACCAGCACGCCTTGCAACAGCTGTGTCAGGGTGATTTTCATCCATAAAGGTTTGCAGTTCAACCCACTGTGCACACATTTCCTTAATTTTTGAAGTAGGCACAATGGATTCCACAACTGGCATAGGCTTCTCAGGGTTAGCCCCAAACCCTTCAAAATCTTTCTTAATTTCCATACTAATTCTCACCCTTTTTACCACAGGGTTGGCACTAGAAGCTTTCTTGGGGCCCATGGTCACTTATTTTCAACAAACAGAACCGAAAACACTGTAATAATACGAAATATTCCGAGTGTATGCTTGAATGTTACCGCGGAGGCTAGCTGGTAAACAATGGGACAGGCGGCACATGTGAGGCTGGCTGAGGCCGCACATTGGACGCGTCTCGGACGAAGTTCGCTGAGCGGGTTTTTGTCTACTATGCGGGGCAAAATTTTAGCGATCAAAGCGTTCGCTATGCGGAATGTTCGCTATGCAAGGCGTTCGCTATGCGGGGGTCCACTGTATATGGTATAATATTTTCATCATTATTTTGTTCACGATAAACTTAAAAACAAGTTTTGTAAGCTATGTACAGTAGGGCCCCGCTTTACGGCGTTTCGCTTTATGGTGTTCCACTAATACGGTCATTTCAAATTAGTATGACAAAAACTCGCTATACGATTCTCCCCACCTGACTTTTTAATGCGGTCACCGCGCCCCACCCAGTTTGTTTACATTCTCTGTGAGATCCAAGCACTAAGTCTTTCCATTAAGTCTGGAAACAACAGAATTTCAAGTGTCTTTAAAAGTTATTTCATATTTTATATATACTCTGATAATTATACTTACGTATAACTGTACCTAAATAAACTTACATACTGTGCTGGTGTGCAGGTACTCATTAAAATCAGTAAGAGTGTCTTATGTCTCGAGACGTCATATTAGTAATGATAATAATCATTGAGTCTCATTAAATGTCTATATTACGTTAATATACATATTTTCATTAATCCATCTATGATATTATTTCTTCTATTGTCCATGGGGAAGTGGAAAAGAATCTTTCCTCCGTAAGCCATGCGTGTCATATGAGACGACTAAAATGCCGGGAGCGATGGGCTAGTAACCCCTTCTCCTGTAGACATTTACTAAAAGAGAGAAGAAGAAAAACTTTATAAAACTGGGATGCTTGAATGTGCGTGGATGTAGTGCGGATGACAAGAAACAGATGATTGCTGATGTTATGAATGAAAAGAAATTGGATGTCCTGGCCCTAAGCGAAACAAAGCTGAAGGGGGTAGGGGAGTTTCAGTGGGGGGAAATAAATGGAATTAAATCTGGAATATCTGAGAGAGTTAGAGCTAAGGAAGGGGTAGCAGTAATGTTGAAGGATCAGTTATGGAAGGAGAAAAGAGAATATGAATGTGTAAATTCAAGGATTATGCGGATTAAAGTAAAGGTTGGATGCAAAAAGTGGGTCATAATAAGCGTGTATGCACCTGGAGAAGAGAGGAATGTAGAGGAGAGAGAGAGATTTTGGGAGATGTTAAGTGAATGTATAGGAACCTTTGAACCAAGTGAGAGAGTAATTGTGGTAGGGGATCTGAATGCTAAAGTAGGAGAAACTTTTAGAGAGGGTGTGGTAGGCAAGTTTGGGGTGCCAGGTGTAAATGATAATGGGAGCCCTTTGATTGAACTTTGTATAGAAAGGGGTTTAGTTATAGGTAATACATATTTTAAGAAAAAGAGGATAAATAAGTATACATGACATGATGTATGGCGAAATGACAGTAGTTTGTCGTATTATGTATTGGTAGATGAAAGACTGTTGAGTAGACTTCAGGATGTACATGTTTATAGAGGGGCCACAGATATATCAGATCACTTTTTAGTTGTAGCTACACTGAGAGTAAAAGGTAGATGGGATACAAGGAGAATAGAAGCATCAGGGAAGAGAGAGGTGAAGGTTTATAAACTAAAAGAGGAGGCAGGCAGGGTAAGATATAAACAGCTATTGGAGGATAGATGGGCTAATGAGAGCATAGGCAATGGGGTCGAAGAGGTATGGGGTAGGTTTAAAAATGTAATGTTAGAGTGTTCAGCAGAAGTTTGTGGTTACAGGAAAGTGGGTGCGGGAGGGAAGAGGAGTGATTGGTGGAATGATGATGTAAAGAGAGTAGTAAGGGAGAAAAAGTTAGCATATGAGAAGTTATTACAAAGTAGAAGTGATGCAAGGAGGGAAGAGTATATGGAGAAAAAGAGAGAGGCTAACAGAGTGGTGAAGCAATGTAAAAAGAGAGCAAATGAGAGAGTGGGTGAGATGTTATCAACAAATTTTGTTGAAAATAAGAAAAATTTTTGGAGTGAGATAAACAAGTTAAGGAAGCCTAGAGAACAAATGGATTTGTCAGTTAAAAATAGGAGAGGAGAGTTATTAAATGGAGAGTTAGAGGTATTGGGAAGATGGAAGGAATATTTTGAGGAATTGTTAAATGTTGATGAAGATAGGGAAGCTGTGATTTCATGTATAGGGCAAGGAGGTATAACATCTTGTAGGAGTGAGGAAGAGCCAGTTGTGAGTGTGGGGGAAGTTTGTGAGGCAGTAGGTAAAATGAAAGGGGGTAAGGCAGCCAGGATTGATGGGATAAAGAGAGAAATGTTAAAAGCAGGTGGGGATATAGTTTTGGAGTGGTTGGTGCAATTATTTAATAAATGTATGGAAGAGGGTAAGGTACCTAGGGATTGGCAGAGAGCATGCATAGTTCCTTTGTATAAAGGCAAAGGGGACAAAAGAGAGTGCAAAAATTATAGGGGGATAAGTCTGTTGAGTATACCTGGTAAAGTGTATGGTAGAGTTATTATTGAAAGAATTAAGAGTAAGCCGGAGAATAGGAAAGCAGCTTGGCTGGTCATGGTGGTTGTGGGAGAGGCTGGAGGTGGGCTCTCATTGGTGGGATTCTGCTGTGGTTCAGTGGTCTCTGATTGGTCGAACTCTTGAGCGGTCAGTGATGGTGGAGGAGCAGAGGTGATGTTGATAATGTTATTAGTGGACTTCACAATGTCGATTGACGGTGGTGATGCAGGGAATATAAAGTTGGGCATGTTGTTGAGTTGGAAGAGTTCGTTGATCGTGGTGTTGAAGGAGCCTGGTACCGCAGTATTGTGGACGGCATACATGATGCAGTATAGGATTTTGGGGGAGTCACCCTCGGGCAATGGTGGAGATGTAGTCGTGGAGGGCTGGAGAACTGGAGTGGAGTCGGGTAGATTCCTGGTAATGGCAGCATATGAGGTTGCTTGGGTAGTTGGTGTCTGCTGTTGTTCAAGCTGTTTTTTCAGTAGTTCCCGTCTGGTGGGGCATTTGGCCACTAAGGTGTGGTGGTCGTTGTTGCAGTTGAGGCATTTGGGTGGAGTGGTGGAGGTGCATGACTTGAAATTGTGGCCTTCAGTGCCACAGGTAGCACAGATTTTCTTGTCTATGGAGGGGCAGTTCTTCATGGTATGCTGGTAAGAATAGCAGTTGTAACATTGAGGGATGTATGTAAATTTCTCTGCTTCGATAAATGTTGGATGGATGTGGAAGTAGAAGATGGCCAGGCCCTCATTGAGAGCTCGGGTTGCCATGCTGACGTCGCTGAAGGTGATCTTCAGCATGGAGGAAGCATTGGGAATTCTAGTGATGTGTTCTATCTTGGCCCAGGTGTTCTGGTCTTCAATTGATGATTTGGTTTCAGAGATCTCTTGGGTTGTGATGAGTTTGTCGAGCTTCTTGAGAAACACAGTTCTCTTGGCTTTCAGGGCTGAGGATGTTAGGACTTGGAATCCACGTTGGTCGAGAGTGGAGATAGCTTCTTTGGTGGTTAGTTTGTCGGCCTCGAGATCATCTGTGCAAATGACCACAAAAGCTTCCTTGAGAGAGAGGATTGCGTTGCACTTGACTCGCAGAGTACCACTGATGGTAGCTGCAAGGGCTAATTTGGACGAGTCGTTGACTGTCCCACTCACAGGTTTGATCTATACCCTGTTGGAGTAATGCATCGTGAGTAAGCAGTGTCCCCCTCCCCAACGGGGATTGTAGGGATGTCTAAAAAATTTGAAATTTGTGTAAAATTGGCAAAATTGCTAAATTCTGACCACTGTATTGGATAGTTGAAATCGGTAAATGGGTGGTTTCTTGTACTCATTCGATAGAAAAAATGGAGTTCTAGCGAAATAGTTATGATTTTTGTCGACAAGTACACTGGAATTGGCTGAAAATAGGGCTCAAAGTGGGCAAAATCGCCGATGCATAAACATCGTCGAGACAGCTAACTTCGCGAGAGCATAATTCCATAAATTTTCCATCAAATTTCATACTTTTGGTGTCATTATGATCGGGAAAAGATTCTCTATCTTTTCATAAGAAAAAATAATTATTTTTTTTTTTAAATTTGGCCAACCCTGAGAACAAGTCTCTGAGAGGGCCTGTCAACCCTGAAAGGGTTAATCTACAATAACAACAAATTTTCAATCTGTTCCATTGTTGGTGACCTTTGTTTTGCTAGAAAAGTTACTCCTTTCGCAACATTAGCATCATTGATTTGTTCTTTCTTTGGCAGGGTGGATGTAATTGTTGATTTGTTTTTCCCATACATCTTGGCAAGTTGCAGCACCTGCATACCACTCTCATATTTATCAGTCACTTCACGCTTAAATTCCATGGTGTTTCTCACTTTCTTTACCGCAGGAATTGTACTAGGAACTTTCTTTGGAGCCATGGTTACTTATTTCACAGTTGCACTGCAAAAAGCCCACAAAAAACAATGGAAAACAAGTGAAATGTTTGGATGTATGAGCAGAAGCTTCCTCGTGCACCGAGACACACAGCCAAACTGACATGCAACCGGCTTCAGCCGGCGGACGGACACATTCGAAACAGCTGATCACAGGGAGCCGACAAATTGGCCGATAACCAAAGGTCCACTGTATATTGTAATTAACACCACTCGCCTTGTTAGAACCAGACTATTTTTTTGCTTTATAAATTGTCTTCTAACTGGTATCTATTTTAAGGGCCTTAAAAACAATAAAGAAGAAAACTATATATACATCTTACAAGCCTTCAGATTATTGTATTTACTGAAATTTTAATATAAAGATTCATATTTTTATTTATATATATATATGTCTAAGATACCTGGTGTCACCAGTGACACAATAGGTAAACAGAAATAAGATCAGAACAAAAAGCAATAATACAGTCACCCAATGACAGTAAATAATAAACTATTATGATCATACTGCTCATGAGATGGGAAGGCAATTGAATTTGATCTGAAGGATAGGTTCACCTCCATGGAGCAAGAGCCCCTCACTAGCACCATCATCTTCCTTGGTAGTAAATAGTTCAACCAATATTGCAATTTTCTTTGTTATGACATTTTTTAAAGGTTAGGATAAGAATTATGTTTACCCTCATAATTATCTGCCATCAGACTATGAGTATCCTTGGGTGACTGCCCAGGGGTCACGAGGATCAGACAACCTTCAGGCCACCAAGTATAACTTCACTGCTGTTCTAGCTGACTTGACAAAGCCAAAGAAAGTCATGGCTGGCCCTCGACTGGTGTCTCGCCAATATTCTCGTCTTGTTGTATCCACGGGCTCATCTGTCAACCTCAATTGTACTGTAGAAGAAGCTGGTAATGTCTCAGTAAGTACACTTCTTTTTTTTCTTCTAAAACATTAGATCTTACAACTACTTAATGGTTATCAGGGATTAAGGTGGAAGAAAGGGTTGGGAGTGGTGTAGAAATAATCTGCTCCTTAGAAACGTACATGAAGTTACAATGGATGAGTTTATAGCTCTGATGGTTATAGCTTTGATAGTTATGATACAAATAATAATAATATATTTTATTTCAGCATAATACATGTTTGTACAAAGGAATATAATACTTGGGTGTACATACCAAAAGCCCCTTTATGTGCAAAGCATTTTGGGCAATCTTAAAACTAATTTAAAATTAATAAGGCAATAACAGTACATATGATCATTAGGTGAGTTACAATGAAAACAAGAGAACTGAATATTCTATTAGGCCATGCTATATGGCTTTGATAAGTTTTGTAGGGAAGAATTACGATTTTGATTATTAACCTTAGGCGGACACAATGGAGTAATTAATATTTGAGGTAAATACAGATATTGATTACAGTGGAACCTCGGCTTACGAACACCCCACCATGCAAATTTTTCAGGATATGAACCGTCATTTGGTCGATTTTTTGCTTCTGGATACAAATGAAATTTCAGGATGCGAACTTCCCCCTCAAGGGAGGTTCCTTCAATAAATAAATAAATAAAATATTTCTTTGCAAAGGTTACAATGTGTATTTACATATCATAATATGATTGGAGCAAAGAAAGCCACAATCATGCCGAGGCATTTTGGGAAGACTTAAGCTACTACTAATAGACTACTTAAGTCTAGACAGGTGAAAAGTGTTCTAGTAGTGGTTAACAATGTTTTGCTGATGGTGGTGCCAACTACTGACAGTACAGTAGTGGTGGTACTTGGGTTACATTTCCTGATTTGTATTTTAGAGAGTTAATAATCATGGTAACCTCAGTGGAATCTTTTGGTGTAAGATAGAGGGATGCTGGAAAGTTTCCATCTAGATAATCATTAGCTCGGGCATTGGTAATTTTAATTTTAATGGCAAGATTTGATCCTATGGTTAAGAAGTCATTCAACTTGTTAGGGAGCCTTGGTTCATTTGGTTTAGTTAGTACAATATTACTAGCTCTGTTCGATTTATGGGTGCCCAAGATCTGAGAGAGAGTGTCTTCCAGGTTTGATACAATTGCTTGCTCTAAAGAAAGCCACTTATTATGCAAAGCTTTTTGGGCAAACTATTCAAACTATTCCTAAAACTTGCATACTGTATTACATAATTCTAGTTGTGGCATATAATTTTAGGCATTGTGTGTCAGTACAGCATGAGTAATTCATTCTTATTATAAGGTAGTTGAAATTCAGAAAATAGGTAGTAAGAGTAGGCTAACTGTTGAAAAGGAATTTACTTGAGTATAATAAGACAGGCTGCAAATGATGCATTAAGATCATAAGAAAGGAGGAGCACTGCAGCAGGCCTACTGGCTCATGCTAGACAAGTCCCATTCACACCCACTTCAGAAGGAAGGAGCACTGCTGCAGACTTACTGGCTCAAGCTAAGCAGGGCCAACTCACACCCACTCATGTACTTGTCTAGCCTATTTTTAAAGCTACTCAAGGTTCTAGCTTCAGTGACTACTCGGGAGTTTGTTCCACACCATTGTGCATTTGAAATCTGTTAAACCATCCAGAACTAAACATGCACTCATTTTCAGGCTGCCCTTCCTCCTCACACACTGTTTTATAGTAAAAGCTTTTATTCCTTATAATAAGGCTATCAAGTGGATCACCTTTCTTTGCTTTTCAGTCCACACATTTACTATATTTAACTATATTATATTTAACTGTATTGACCTATTCCTCATTTTTTTTTTCACTGTGTGGCATTGAGGATTACTTATTGTACATGTCCTTATCTTCACCTCATTGTCCAAATCCTTGATTTTCTAACACCAAACACACATGCCATCTCCATGATGCATGCACCACTTTTCAGCATCTCAGTTACCTGGAGACAAATTGTATAAAATATGGACACAGTGGAAAAATAAGCACAAATGCAGTATAATGCCTCGGTTATCGGCCATAATCCATTCCAGAAGCTCGGCCTAAAACCAAAATGGCCGAAAACTTAAATAATATTTCCCATAAGAATTAATGTAAATACAATTAATCCGTTCCAGACACCCAAAAATATTCACAAAAAAATCATTTTTTGAAGATTAATTATAGTTTTACATATACAAAACAATGAGAACTAAATAAAATAAATACATGAACAATTAACTCAGTATTAAATACCTTTATTGAAGACTCTTCTTGGCTTATGGAAGATAGGCAGAAGGAGAGAGGCTTGAGAGTCACTGTACCCCTGCAACTCACTCCACTTTGCACACAGCCAGGAGCTATGACTCAACCCCTGCAACCTCAACTAGGTGAGTACATGTCCTTAATCACTGAAAAAGGTACATTTTCCCCTCTCTTTTCCTCCTCCTCTGAAGCAATTTCCTCACCTGTGGTCTGTTGCTGTTCCACATTCAAAGTTTTTTTTCTCTATAAGGATTACAATGCTGAGTTTACAGAAATTTGGTTATTGTGTGGTTTACATGTAGTAAAATAGTGATTACAGAGTGTACCACTAGAACACCTAGCATGGCTAGGCATTTCGGGCAGACTTAGTTTTATTCTTAATTGTAAAATATTACAAATTATGAGGTAAGTTGGTATTATGGCTAAGTGACTAAATACTAGTTTGTGAGTTTAGCAATGTAAATGCTTTTGTTTTGGCACGTACATAGTTTCAGTATTGGAGTATCACAGGATTCATTATTTTAAGATTGAGATTAATATTTCTGTTTATGGTCAAATGAGTCAGTGAGTGTAAGTGTGAACCACCAGGTGGTATTCGTGTAGTTAGTTGACAGGGTGTATCAGGGAGATAAGATGTTTTCTAATGGTAGTTTTGAAGGTGATGAATGTGTCTGCAGTTTTAGAATTTTCAGGTAGGGTGTTCCAGATTTTAGGGCCTTTGACATGCATTGAATTTTTGTAAAGGTTTAGTTGGACACGGGGAATGTCGTAGAGATGTTTGTGTCTGGTGTTATGCCTGTGGGTTCTGTCACAACTATCAAGAAAGCGTTTTAGGTCAAGGTTGATATTAGAGTTTAAGGCCCTGTAGATGTAGATTGCACAGTAGTAAGTGTGGATGTACTGAACAGGGAGTAAGTTTAGGTCTATGAAGAGTGGGGGGGTGTGTTGCCAGGGATGGGATTTAGTGATTATTCTTACTGCAGCTTTTTGTTGGGTTATTATTGGCTTTAGGTGTGTTGCTGCAGTTGATCCCCAAGCACAAATAGCATAGGTGAGGTATGGATAAATAAGTGAGTGGTATAGTGTGAGAAGGGCATTTTGCGGCACGTAGTATCGTAGTAAGGTCTTGCAGCTCTACCCTCTACCACCATCACAACCACTACCACCCTCTGCCACCATCACAACCACTACCACCCTCTACCACCATCACAACCACTACTACCCTCTACCACCATTACAACCACTACCACCCTCTACCACCACTACTACCACCCTCTACCACCACTACTACCACCCTCTACCACCACCACTACTACCACCTTCTACCACCACCACTACCACCCTCTACCACCATCCACAACCACTACCACCCTCTACCACCATCACTACCACCCTCTACCACAATCACTACCACCCTCTACCACAATCACAACCACTACCACCCTCTACCACAATCACAACCACTACCATCCTCTACCACCATCACAACCACTACCACCCTCTACCACCCTCTACCACCATCACTACCACCCTCTACCACCATCACTACCACCCTCTACTACCACCCTCTACCACCATCACAACCACCCTCTACCACCATCACAACCACTACCACCCTCTACCACCCTGCACCACTATCACTACCACCCTCTACCACCCCCACTCTTGTACTTTGCTACGATTTCTTTCTTAAATTCCATTCTTAAATTCAACTTTCTTTGGGGCCATGGTTAATTATTTTGCAGATGCACTTAATAAATAACCACCAAAAACGATGGATTATAGCGAAATGTTTGGATGAATGAGCAGAAGCTTCCTCACTCACCCAGAGACACAGCCAGACTGACGCACGAGCGGCTGGCGGCGATGGGTTGACGAGTCCCATATGGCCAATAAGCAAAATAACAGTCGATAACAGGAAGCCGAAAAACCGGCCGATAACTGAGTTGGCTGATAAGTGGAATGGCCAATAACCGAGGGTCCACTGTAATTAATTTTTGTCTTTGTGATTCTCTCGTTGCACTATCTGCAAGTAACATAACCAAAGTTTATCAACACCTGCCAAGTGTGTCGTACCATATATTCTACCATATCTGTATAAAACTTCTTAAGCACATGGATTACCTTAATAGCACTGTTATGCACTCCATACTAATCCTTATGCAGTAGTTGTTAACAGAGGTACTGTATACACCCTTCAAAGGAGGTGCTTTGATGCTGGTGAGGGACTCTTGAGTAAAGGAATTGGGACTATCTTCACTATTGTTTGGTCTAACTTGATTGCCTCCCATTCTAAGCCTCCTCAGGTGGGCTTAGAGTTCCCTCATAAATGCAATAATAAAATAGTTGTCTATAATGGGTCCAGAAACTAGACTTCAAATTGTCTGCTAAGTATGTTACAATAGTAAAGAACTATTTAGATTCCAGCTAAGTAAATAAAAACTTTTTACAGGTAACGTGGACTCGTGGCAATGTGGTGTTGGCTGTAAACAAGTTCAGGTAAGCAGAACTTATTGGTAGTTAAATGTTTTGTTCCACCTAAGTCTAGGACTCTGTGGTTATCCTTTGTTTATAAACCTTAAACTGTCATGTATTCAGAAATAAAATTTCCTCTGTGTGAGACAAAGTTTTGAAAAAAACTAATCTTACTGTACTAAAAGGGTGCATTTTTAGGAGTCAAATAAAACAAAATCAGATATTGGATAATAACTTAGGTTTTTTATGGGCATTAACCTTAGTGTTGCAAAGCTATAAATCTTATTTATTTGAACCACAACAATTTTTATCAGTGTCTCATCAAAGAATACAGACATTCCTCACTTAATGACCTACCTGTTTAACGACTGCTCGGCCTTACAACCAGGCCTCTCCAACTGGTCAGTATTCTATGCTGTACAAGAACTTCGGTCATGGAAACAGCAGCTCGGTGTCTCAGCATCAAGCAGTCTCCAAGATTACATATTTTGTCTATAAATTTATACTTTATTGTGCACCCCATAGTACAACATAGGGTTGGAAGTGCAGGAGCACTTGGAAGAGGAGGAAAGACTGGAAGAAGTTCACTGTAAAGGGATTAACTAGTGTGTTTGTCTGTTTACATTTTTGGCATCTCTCTTGTTTATGATGGCATCAAAGGGTAAGTATGTAGGTTTGTTTAGGTACAGGTACACATAAATACAGTTACATAAATTATCATACATAGCAGCATATGTATAGATTACCTAGGATAACCCCAAAAAAGTTACTTTGACATTTTTGGGTTATCCTATTGTTATATGACCCTAGTGGGTTTAGCACTTGGTTTTGATTATACAGGTCTACATCCCTTTATCCGAAACCCTTGGGGCCAGTATTGTTTGTAATTTCAGGATTTTTCGAAGTTCAGAATGATTCTCAATGCTGCCACGTGGTGGCGTGACCCAGCGCTGAGATGACTGATGCTCCACACTCCACGAAAAACCTTCGGTTTTCGGAACTTTTCTAATTTCAGATAAAAGGTTGTAGATCTGTAATGGGTTATCCTAGGTAATCTACACATATGCTGCTATGTATAAAGATAAAGATAAAGATGTTTATTTTGATAAATTACATGGTTGTACAGAGGAATATAATAGTTAGGTGTACATGCCAAAAGCCCCTTTGTATGCAGAGCATTTCGGGCAAACTTAGAGATTAACTTAAGATTAGTAAGGCAAGAATACATACTTCATATGGTCATCAGATGAGTTACAGCAAGTACAGTAGAATTGTATATTCCATCAGGTGATGCTACATGGTTTTGATAAGTCTAGTAGAGGCTTATTACACTATTGAATTAGTTAATAAAGATTACAATATTACAATGTTAATAAAGATTACAATATTACAATGTTGCTGCCGCTGATGTGGCAGCAACAGCAGCGATCTCCAAGCTCCGTACTTTTCTCCAACTATCAGAGCCACCAATGCTCCTATTTATTTATTTTATTTATTTAGAAATTTAAGCATACATACAGAGGTACAAAAAAAATACAGGTAAGAGCAGCATGCCAAAGCCACTTATATGCATAGCATTACGGGCTGGCTTAAAATTAACTTAAGATTAACTAAGCAATGATGAAATCAGTGATAAGACATTATTGTAAACAGATAACTATAAAGCACAAATGAGTATTACAAAGACAGGTCATATGGTTGCATGCATTGCTGTTCATTCAGTAGAATGGAGTATTCTGTTAGGTAGTGTATTTAAAAAAATAACAAAGTTAGATTGGGTCCTAGGTTTAACATTTATGTGATATAATTGTGAGTAACATTTTGGAGGTGCGGGATTACCAAAACTGTTGTCCAGAGGGCTGAGGAAGGGTTGTTGAGGTGGTTCGGACATGTAGAGAGAATGGAGCGAAACAGAATGACTTCAAGAGTGTATCAGTCTGTAGTGGAAGGAAGGCGGGGTAGGGGTCGGCCTAGGAAGGGTTGGAGGGAGGGGGTAAAGGAGGTTTTGTGTGCGAGGGGCTTGGACTTCCAGCAGGCATGCGTGAGCGTGTTTGATAGGAGTGAATGGAGACAAATGGTTTTTAATACTTGACGTGCTGTTGGAGTGTGAGCAAAGTAACATTTATGAAGGGATTCAGGGAAACCGGCAGGCCGGACTTGAGTCCTGGAGATGGGAAGTACAGTGCCCGCACTCTGAAGGAGGGTGTTAATGTTTAGTTTAAAAATGTAGTGTAAAGCCCCCTTTGGCAAGACAGTGATGGATGAAAAGATGGTTTTAAAAAATTTTTTTTTTGGGGGGACCCCCGCCTTGGTGGGAAACGGCCCCGGGGTGATAATAAAAAAAAAAAAAAAAAAAATTTTTAAAGGGTTTATATTCAGTATTATTTTGGTTTTTAGTGAGTAAGTGAAATTTGAAAAAACTTGAATTTATATACAGGGAGTGTTTTTTTTTTTTTACAGGTAATGAATTCCAATTTTGGGCCTTTTATGTGCATTGAGTTTTTTTCAAGGTGGAAAAGGACAGAGGGGAAAATCAAGGGGGTGATCTGTGCCTTGTGTTATGGCATGGTTCTTTGAGGTTGGAAAGGGATTTTGGGGGGGGGTTAATACGAGTTTAATTTTTCTATGTAGAATAGGTGCAATAATAATTGGATGTTTTTTTGGGGAGTAGGGAGTGTTTTGAATATTTGGTGGGGTGGTTGCCCGATGAGAATTTGTTATATTCTAACTGCAGCCCTTTTTTTGGGTATTAGTGGTCTGAGTGGTTAATTGTTGTTGGCCCCCTGCACAAATTCCATAGGTGGATGGGGTAAAAAAAGGTGATAAAGGGAGGGGGGCTGATGTGGAAACTGAACCTATCTTCGATAGTACGCCTCATCTTGGAAATTTTCTTAGAAATTTGTTGTATATGTGTGTGAAATTTGAGTCCTTATCCGGGTGGTTTCCAAAGAGTTTTCCCTCTGTTGCTTTGGTAGGTGATCCTTTTAATCATTATTTAAAAGGTACATCTTATGGTTTTACCAAAAAATGAATGGTTTTGTCATGTTTAGTGTAAGTTTGTTAGCCCTCACCCAGGTAGTTTTTTCAATTCGGTGTTTACAGTAGGGGCTAGCGACGGGGCCCGGGGTAGAGAAACGTATGTAGTGCCCCATTGAAAAAATGTGGGTTTGTAATTGCAAAGCTTTTGGGTGGGTCATTTATGTATGGAAAAGAAGAGGGCCAAGGGAATTCCCTGTGGGACACCAACTGAAATTGGGTTGGCAGAAGAGCTTGCCCCTTTGGTACACTTTTGGGCTTCTGTTGCTGAGGTAAGACTTGAGGTAGTTGGGGAGGGCCCTCTAATACCATAGTGTGAAAATTTTTTACGTGGAGCGTCATGGTAAACTATATCAAAACTTTACGAAAGTCAATGAAGACCCCCCAGGGGGACTTCTTTTTTTTCTATTGCAGTGTATATTTTCTGCATGTGTAATAGCATCATTGTATTTTTTAGGCCTGAATCCAAATTGGGGGGGTTGAGAATGTTTTGGGGATGAGGTAGGAGAGTTATTTATAATTTTAATTTTTCAAAGATTTTGAGAGGGGTGTAAATTGGTATTCCCTATAGTTATTAACTCGTTTGGCCTCCTTTAGGGATCGGGGTGACCCTTGATTTTGAGAACTGTAGGAGGTGGGGGATTCAAGGGATTTGTTAAAGAGTTTTTGCAAGTTTGGTGATAGTACTTGTGATGCTTTTTTTATATAAAAGGGTGGTAGGTATTTAAATCTCCTCCCTTGTTTTTCGTGCGTTGATAATAAGGGAAAAAGTAGGGGTTATGGGAGTAGGAACATGTTTTCGGTGTTCCCATGGGGTGTTTTTGGGTGGGGTATCTGAGCTTGGGATTTTTTGAATTTTTTACCTATGTGGAGAAGAAATCTTTGAGTCTGTTTGCGTTTCGTTGGTGGGTTGGGGTTTCATCGTTTTTTACAATTTTATTTCGCTATGCGGAATCTTTTTTTTTCCAAATTTTTGATGGGTCTTCCCAGTCTTTTTTTTAATCACCTCGAAGTGGATAATCTGTTTATAATAAATTTTTTTCCCCTTCTTATAGGTGGTTAGATTGAGAGTAACGTTTTGTTTGGTCTTGGTTATGTGCCCCTTTCTGTATTTTTTTTTAAGGGTGTTTTGTATTAGGGTTTTGAAAGGGGGGTGTTACCAGGGATGTTCAGTTCTTAGCTGTCACGTTTTTTTTTTTAGGGCAGTGTTTTATAAAGGGATTGGGGTTTTTTTTGAAAATTATTAAAAAATTGTCAATACTTTAGATTTCTAGTCAGTGTGCCCGTCAATTTTGTTACTGTTTGTGAAATTATTTAATGGCTGCCTCATTGTGAAAAAGAAGGGCTTTTGTAGTGTCCCTTGGGTTTTTACAAAAGTTGTTATGGGGAAAGTAGGGTGTGGGCGTGGTATTATCTGTAATTATGTGTTTTAAAAGGGGGTATGGGGTTTGGGCCAATTGGTCAAGTAGGGAAACACTATTTTCTGTAACTTTGAGGTTTTGTTTTGGGTAGCAAAGCAGATCATTTGTTTGTGAATTCAGTAAGTGGGGGTCCTTGTCTTTTAGGGATTTATATTTAAGTCATGAGAGTAGTAAATGACTTTTTTATGCATGCATCAGTTATCATACTTTCCCAGGTTTTGGACTAAATTGGTATGTTTGTTTTTGGATTGTAATGTTTTCACTGTGAGAGGTTTTTTTTAGGATTTTTATTTGAATTTACTTTATATATTCCCTGTTATCCCCTTTTGCAAGTATTAGTGATACATTCAGTTGGTTTATAATAACTTTCCCCCCCCTTGTTTTGGGCTGGCCCACGTTGTGTATGGTTGGAACTAGGAAAAGGCATAGAATCTGAGAAACAGGTTTAGCCATTTTAGTTTGTGTAATGATGGGCTTTGCATGCAAGGAATTTTGTAAGCGGGGGTCTTATAATGCTTGCTTTTAAATCTGATATTGTAGTTAAAGATATTTTGTTTTGTTGGCTCG